GAGGGAGGGAAGGAGGAAGAAAGAAAGAAGGGAATTTAGGAAAATCAATGGATTCATGTCTTACTAAATATAGTGGAGCTACTGCTGTGTGTGTCCATTTTTCCAAGTTCTCTGCCTCCTTCACTTTAAAAAAAAAATCATGGCTTAAAAAACCCACATAACTTCACTTCTGATTCATGTGACTGTAATGTTTCCTGCCAGCCTGGTTTACTCCCACCCTCCTCAAAATTTCTCCAAACCCAGCAGCAACATGTGTTGGTCTGACAACTGGCAAAAATGAGACAAATAGAAAGTGAATATCCAGGCAATTTTTAAAAGATAAGAACTGTCTAAAGGCTGCTTACCTCCAAGACTGACCGACTTAGAGAGTGATGTGGGGACTTCCGTCTCTTGCCATCTTCTTGTGAAACACGAGGTGAGTAGTAGCTGTGTTTCAAATCAAAGGGCTGGAGAAGCCAAGGAGCAAAAACAACTCTGCAGTTAGGATGGCCGGTCTGAGCTTCTCTGGGGGACCTCAAGGGCCCAGAGAACTAGGCTACAAAGGAAGGAGCTGCTGTGAGATGGACAAAGCCACTGGACATTAGTTGCAGAGGTTAAGTCTTCATCTGAGAGACTAGGTTTAGAGTCTTAAGGAGAAGGTGCTGGGGACTGGAGGGTATCTGTGCAGGACTGGGGATTTTGGGGTTGAAGGATGAAGCATATCAGAATCACCTATGGAACTTTTTCAAACTCTCAATTTTGATCCATCCCTGCTCCCCACCCCTCCCCACCATTTCCCTCCATATAATCCACTTCTTCCCACCATGGGAATGAGCCTCAGTTATGAAAGAATTGTGTCTGTCTCCCAGGTGTTAGGGTCAGGAATGTATCCAGGTTTTGGGAGGCCTGAAGCTATACAACTGTAGGGGCCCTCTTTAAGAAAAAAATATAAAAGAGCAAATAAAAACTGTGGGCAAGCCAATACAAAATGCTCTCAAAGCAATCTGGAACCACAAATAGATCTGCCTCGTTCTAATGACTGCATACTATTTTATTATATGGGGGCACTGTAACTTACCATCCAGTCCCCTACTGATAGACGCATATATTGTTTCCAGCCTCTTTCTGTTCACAACACTGCCATGAGTACTTTTGTACATGTATCAATTCTCACACTCAGGAGCATATCTATAGCACAAATTTCTAGAAGCAAAAATCACTGGGTGAAAGGGTTTGTGCACTTGTAATTATGATAAATATCACCAAATTACCCTCTATAAAAATTGTTCCAGTTTATACTCTTACCAGCAGGATATGAAGGGACTTGTTTCCATACCCTTGCTGATACAGTAATATTATTGTTTTATCTTTGCCAGTATGATAGATGAAAAATTGTTTCTCTCTTTTTTTTAACCATACATGAGTTTGAGTACTTTTTCATATGTTTGCACAGAATATTGCATTGTTTCTTTGGTGAACTGTTCATATCCTTTGCCTGTTTTGTTTTCCATATTAAACCAATAACCCAACTGGCCTTTTTCTTATTAAATTGCAGAAATCCTTTCTATTTTAGGGAAATTAACCCCGTCATATGTGATGTGGAAATATTTTTCACAGTTTTTTTGTGTGTGTGGCCTTTGACTTGGTTTATAGAGGCTCTGCCATCAGATTTGTTTTAACATCATCAGTGTTGGCCTTCCAAGAGGGCTTTTGTAGCTATGGTGGTCTGGGAGCCTCCTCTAGAAAGGTGGCACTTGAGCTGGACCCTGAACAGTCTCATGTGCACCTCTTTGTGCAGGTGTCTCACACAGAGAGCAGGACACAAGCCTCTAGTCAGAAGCTCTCTAGGAAGCAGGTGCTTGGTGTGTGGGAGGGATGGAAAGGAGCCCCGGCACACAGGGCACAGAGAATGTGAGCACTCTCCAGAAGGTTCTGGAGGCCAGGGACAGAGGGTGGGTTAGCCGTAGGGCCCAAAGGGGAAAGAAAACCAATGGGAAAAAATTGATAGTAAGGCAATTGTAGACTCTACATATCACTAGATGAACATTTGGTACTTATCACTGTCCAGCACAGAATGAGTTCTGGGAGCGTTCATCCGTGAGTTTTCTGTCCCTGGAATGTTTCAGGCAGAAGTGCTATGCACCTGGGTGGTAACACCAGAGGAAACGTAAGCATTAGATGGGTGTTTGACTAGGTGACATTTATCTCCTTCCCAAGAATACCAGGATGCTGAGATTGGCTGTGGTATACAGTATATATATATATATATATCCTTGCTTTTACCTTCCCTTGTGGTCTCTCTCCTTTTCTGCTATTAAATTTTACTGCCTTTCTTCTGTTCTTCCTCTTTGCCTTGCATCCTTCCTTCCTCCCTCTGTTCCTTACTTCCTTTTGTCCTCTCCTATGTTATAGCACTACCAGTGGCTCGTGCCTGGCTCCACTGAGAGCATTACGGGCAAAGGCAGCATAGTGTTTACATGAGGTAACTTTCTATTTTCCATGACACCTGTTTATAGCTGTGCCATGCACATACCTGGCACTGGAACACTGACCCAGGAGCCCTGAGGGCAGGAACCAATCTTTTCCCTCCTGTGGTGTACTCTGGGGTGGAGACGTGGAGCTACTAGGTACTCCGTGAACAGGTGACATAAATGTGCAATCACAGGCTGGGTCTGCAGAATGGCTATTTGCAGACAGTACTGTTTCCTCTTTACAGTTGGGATCTAAGAACAGTGAAGGCAAAGACTGGTCCAAGAAATCAGGACAGGAAACAGATTTGAGAGCCTTCCTTATAGATGAGGTAAAGCCACAATTACAGATGAGCTCACTGAATCAGAATGCAGCGAGGAAGGTACAGAGGGGCAAGAAAAGAAAGAACACATCCACGAGATTTCTAGTATAGGCGCACCTTCAGAACTAGACAATAGTGTCCTGTAGTACTAGGTTTGGAGAGAGGCCAGGGTAGGATGTGAAACTGATGGAAAGAAAAAAGAAAAAGAGGACAGAGCAGGCTGCTCTCAGAACCTGGCACCAGAAGTGAAGCAGCCCATCAGGGGAGCTGCGTAGGGAGAGAGAAGAGTTTGCTCAAAGTGAGCACCTTTGATAGGCCAGACAGCTAAGTGCTTTGTGTTTTTGCCTCATTTAATTTCACAGCAGTTCTGCAAAGTTACAGATGATTGTCCTAGTTTTACAATTGTGGCAACTGAGGCTAAGAAAAATCAAGCAACTTCCTCAAAATCACATAGCTGGTAGGTGATGACTCTGGGGGGTTTACACCCAGTCTAATTCTGATTCTAAATCCAACTCCAAGGCCTCATTTCTTTCACTCTGTCAAAAAAAAGTTGTCACCCTGTTTTCATCTCAAAGACATTGGCCGGCCAGCTCACAGAGACACCGGGAGTGTCCAGGCGAGCGTAGGATACTCCTTCTTCAGCCAGGTGGACTGGGCCAGCCGATACACTCTGCCATTGGCAAAAGCAAGCAAAATAGAAGGGCAGTGACAGGTACTCTCAGCTTCTGTCCCCTCTGCGCATAAAGCATCCCATTATCACCCATGCAGGAGTCCTTCTGCATCTTCATAAGGGGCAGGCAGGACTGTTGACTCTATTATAATCACATGACTCAGGTGTTCTAAGAAGTTATCTTGTGTGCCAAAATACCATGACTCAATTTTTTCAGAATCTAGTCTAGCCTGGTCATAAGCAAATCATCCTACACATCAACTTCACTAAAACTTAGGACTGTTTTGAGTTGCCCCAATTTTTTTAGTTTACAATTATTTTTATTTCTCCTTTGATACCAATGATAATAATAGACAGTAAACTGTTCACTAACCTGTGTTTGCTTAACTTCTGCAGTGCATGTCCATTCAATGAACACTGATACTTGGTTAAGAAATGAGTGATCTCAGAAAATTAGGTTTCCTCAAGACAAACTACTCTTGAAAACAAGTTAGGAGTTTTTGTCTTTAATTCCTTTTTTAGACATGTTATAAACATACAAATTTATTTCCCAGTTGATTCAATCTGCCATCTCTAAATCTTTAGGGAGAATTACAGAAATGGAGATAAAATCTTGGTAATTTATTCAATTTTATCACTTCTACTGATCCCATAAAAAGATTCCATCTGTCAAATTATCTTTTTGTTAAAAAAAATTTATAATTTTCTTTCTATGGGGATGTTGAAATGAGTAGTTTAAGTATCTGTGTCATGAAAACTATTGACGTTCCAATAAAATCTGTTCTTTCTAAATTATCTGTTCTTCAGCCTCTTTTGAGAGGAAACCTCAGCTTCTATCATTTGTTTATAATTTGCTTGTGCAGCTTGGGATTTATAGCTTTGGGTGAATATATTATGGCATGTTTGGGAAGTGTAGCATAAAATATTCTTATGTTAACATATTCTGAGATTTGGATTCCAATCCATAATCAGTACATCTTTCTTTTTAAAATTTCTGCTGCCTTGGTTTTATTGCAAGCACAAATAGTAAGCATAAAGAGAAGAGAAGCCTATCTGAATCCCCATCTTTTATCATCTATTTAAACCTTGTTTCTGTAATCATAGGCTGGGTGAATGCTGACACACTGGAGCATCTGAGCTCCAGTGGAAAAACAATCCCCTCCCAGCATCCACCACACCATGAGCTTTGATTTCTAACCTTTATAATGCTCACCTTTGATCAGCGCTCCCATTTTCTCATGGCTATTCCAGAGCTTCCCTTTTCTCTTGATGGCCCCACCTAGGATTGTTAGACAAATGACTGAATGCCCAGTTAGACCTGAAGTGCAGATAAACAATAAATAACTTTTAGTGTAAGTCTGTTCCATGCAATATTTCACATGTCCTATATTTTTATTGGGTAAACCTAGCAACCCTACTCCTAACCTCTCTCCTCTCATGGCCTCCTTTGTCTCACTTCCTGCCATCTCCTCTTCATATCTGCCTACCTTAAGACACAGCCTCACCAGTGTCTCTCCCGTCCCAATGACTAGCCCATTCAAGACCAGCCTCCCTGCTGAGCTCCTGACCACTCTTGTGTGAGGTCAGGAAGACCTTCCAACAGGAAGATGCACAGCCAGAGGCTGTACAGTAGTAGGAAGGACCCTACAGAACCCAGCACTGGATGCCTGTGCTTAGTGGAGGAGAAACAGGTTTGAAATGTATGGAGCCAGAAGCTGGTCTATGGAAAACTCCTGAATTGTATAGCTCATGTAGGAAAGAAACCTGATAGTTTTCCCAGACTTGACAATAATCCTAAACATTAATAATTGAAATTAGTAATACTGAAAGAAGCCTTTCTAGACTATCAATTGGTAAAAGTTTAAATAACTATACTAGAGGAAAGGGTGAATTCCCTATTTGCTCTATTGAAAGTGTTATTACAAAATCCTTGTTATGTGAATCGGTGATTAAAAACTGTGAGGTCAAAAATTGAGGAGAAAAGTATGTTAGAGGCATTTAGAGGAGTTGACTTCTTGAAGTTAGGTGACTTTCTAGATTTTTGTGATGTTTGTGGTATTTGTCAACTTTCAAAAACTAGTAATTTTTTTTTGTCCTAAATATTTATTTTTGTACTTTGTATTTATAATTTTGTATTCTTTTTCTTAAAATGGTCCCCATTAGTGGGTGAACTTCAAGGTCCTATCCAATCCTGAATCCATCCCTGTGTGAAGTACCCAAACAGAAATGCGGTGAGTCATCATCAGTCAAGGTGGAAACTATTATAAAGCCCACAACAGATGGGAAGGAGGGCAGAGGAAAGATCTAGAAAATTCCTTGAAGTAAACAAACAGTGAACTTGTTAAATTCCAGAAATGAAAATCAAATGCCTTTGGCAGCTCTTAACACATTTCTGGAGCATTTGGGGAGAAATGGCCCCCCTTCCTTTGCTCCCCCATCAAGTGATATCCTTCAGGATTCTATCCTGCCCTTCCCTCCTTACTCCACACAATTAAAAATTAACTGCATGATCTCATCTATCCCCATGTTTATGGTCAACGCCTGTAATCCAATAGTGCCCCACTCTATCTCTAGGATTCACCTCTCTGTTAACCTTCATACTCAGGAAACTCTTCAAGCATTTTCCTACCTCACAGTGACCACTGCAGCTGCCTCCCTCCCGGGCAGCCAACTTGTGTCACGTGCAGCATATGGCTGAGTCAGGGGCAGTCATCTGGCCCAGGACAGAGTCGCTGTTCTATAAATTTGGAATTCGGAGGGAGAGGGCAAAAGATCAATTGATGTTTTTGTCTTCCGAGAGTGATATGTGTAAAGGGTAAGGTTGAGAGGTGGGGCAAGCCTCTCCCACACATAGAATTAGGAGAGGCCAGTGCACAGGAAAAGAGAAGAATGAGCCACATGTAAGGAGAAGCAGAGATGACCCACAGTGAGAATGGTCACCCACTTTCCAGGTTTTTCAGAGCCTCCCCACGACCCCCTTGACAGTTCACCTCTGTACTCCCATAACAAATTTCTCATTGTAGCTTACGTTAGTGTGAACTGATTTCTGGTCCTTATAACCAGGAAGATATTTCTAACTGTTAGATATAGCCACTGGATCGTATCACAAATTCAGATTAACCAACCCACAGCATTAACAAAGAGAATTCTCTTTTCCAAGCACAGGAAATCTATGAGAACTCATGTGAGGAAATCTGAGAATTAATTTCTAGGTAGAATTTTTGGAGCTTAATTCAATTTGATTACAGAAATCTTTATTGTTAAATATCATATCAGCTTCAACAGTCATCCGGATCACAGGCCAGCTGTTTCTTTATAGATTCATAACTTCACATAATTTGGCTTTCCCTGTAGGAGATAGAGATTATTCCAAGTTTCCTGGAGTGATAGAATGAGCTGAAAACTGATAAAAATGATCTTTATGCAGTTTACCAATAAATAAGTATAGGAAATATTTCTAACATGGCATACTACATTGGAGTATAGGCAAATAAAGCCTTTATTTAAATTGTAAAGAGCTGCCTTAACCTAATGATGCAACATACTCTTTATAAGATATATGTGCTAGAATACTTACCATAGCATTATCTAAAAATTGGAAATGATCTAACCAACAATAGAATATTGGTAAGGAGGACTCTATGTACTTATTAAAAATTATGTTTATAATTATTGATATGGAAATATATTCAGTGGGAGAGGAAACAAGTTATAAAACAGCAAGTTTCAATCCCATTTTTGTGAAACAAATCAACAAGTAAATAAATAATACTGCATGAATCTGAAATTTCAAATGATGTATACCAATATGTAAATGGTAGTGCTTTTCTTTGAGTGATAGAAATATGGACGAACCATTTGAGTTTCTATTTTTTTGTATCATCTGTTTTCTTTAACATTGCACATATATTACCTTCATAGTTAGAACGAATAGTAATACTATTTTCATTTTGAAAAAATTTCTTCACTACTGAAGGGAAGAGTCAAGGAGTTTTAAATTAGAAGGGACATTAAGGTATTATTGATGTATATACTCTTATGAAGGTTTCACATGAAAAAACAATGTGGTTACTACACTTACCCATATTACCAAGTCCCCACCCATATCCCAATGCAGTCACTGTCCATCAGTGTAGTAAGATGCCACAGATTCACTACTTGCCCTCTGCCAGTAGGGGCTTTCTTAACCCAAATTCCACCACTACCATCTTCCCACTACCTATCCTGGCATCCATTCTGGAGGTTTCTGACAGATGGTCACCCAGACTTAATGGGGAACTTACTACTTTCCAAGTATAACAAGATAATTCTGATGACAGCAGAATTCCACTTAGGATGAGAATAGAATTTGTGAAATATGGACTACAGTGGGGCACGAGGGTATGGGGGGCCCCAACTGGCACAGTGGGGACTGCGATCAAGTGCTTTGTATGAGACAAGAATAATTTCTATTCTTCCTGAAAGAAGCTGGGGAGAGGTTTGCAGAGAAAGATGAGGAAGAAGGCATTTCACAGGGTGGAAAGAAGCTGGGACACTGCAGCTCTCACTGACAGGCTGGCAGGAGGTCTTTCTATCTAGCACACTGTGGGACTCTTATTTGGGGTTTTTTCCCTGTGATGTTAACAGCTCTTTGTCTCTTCTGCTTCACTTTCTCCCACTCTTTTTTGTGAAAACCGAAGTTGAAGGTGAGTTTTATATGTGGGTTAACATGCTGCCAAACAAGACACATGACTAAAAGCAGACACCTAGTGTCTGCATTATCCACAAGAAGACAACTTGCCAGACTCTCAGTCACAGCTCTGGACTTCTGCCTGATGAAAAGTGAGGCATGAGGGTGTTAGTCTAGGGAGAGGAAATCCCACGGCAAAATACCTCTAAAAGCCAAAATCAAAGGGAGAAATACAGTTTAAAAATCTGTTTATTGCTTACAAAACTGTAGTGCAGCCCAACTCTCTCTCCTGCTCCAGCAGCAGCAAAACCGGACCTCCCCCTCACCTCTCAGGTACCCATAAGCCCTCCATTATCCAGGTAATTACCCACTGATATGGAGATGAACTTCTCTCCATCCCTGAGGAATGAAGCAAATGCACTAAAGCCATACTTCTTTCCACCACTGAACGCCTATTGATATGCAGATGTACTAAAGCCAGGTGAGATATTCTAGAAATGTTACAATTTTACCCACAGAAGGTAAGTCTGTCTTACTTAGAGTTCCCCAGGCAAAGGTCCCATGACTTCTGGGCCACATCGGGCAGATCCTCCCATTGTTTCATAGCTCTACTTTTGCCTCATAGCAACTCGAAATCTGCTTCTGTGTCTCTCCTTTCTTTTGGGTCTAGTCTGTAACAACTTAGTGAGTTTGATCCTTGCTCCACATTAAAGATAAAGGAAAGATGATATTCTTGAAATATTAAACCAAAGTAATTTGCATTCTCCACAAGTGGTGTTGTCCTATAACCCCTCACTCATTGAATCAATGGGCTTGAGTACTTCAGAGGAAGGCTGAATACCTAACGAGAGCAAAGTCATTACTCAGTTTAGAGTGTCAAACTAAATTTCTTAAGCTCATAACATGGTAATTCCAGGCTTTGTTAAGAGAAAAAAGGGTTTTGCGTAAATTCTAGAAGTTTCCTTTTTCAGCATTTAAAGAGCAAAGCTCAGGGTCCAAGAAAGAGCTTTACTAGAACTCGGTCTTCATGTTGGCATGTGTATATCCATGGAGTACACACAGAATTTCTAAGGGGTGCTTGGTCACTGGGAATTGTAAGGGAACAGTTTTCAAAAGTGTCAACTTTCAGCACATCCTTTCCTAAAATTAACCTGCCTTTAGAATTTGCAGATTAACCTGCCTTTTCAGGTTTCTTTTCAAATTGTTCTCCTCCCTTACAAAAGAAAATCATGCCTCTCATTATCCAGAAATCCAGAATGCTCAAGTAGCGTTTGGCCCCAGGGTGCAGAAACCTCTGGGTCCCCAAATGACTGGACCATTGGAAATGACTGGCCCCTGAGGGAGGGTTCCTTGTGAGCACCATCAGGTGAGCTCACAGGAAAATACCAAGGGCCACAGGACCTTATTTTGTCCAGGCTGCAGAGTCATGCATGACTCGGGGCCTCATCTATTTGTTTCTGCAATATTAGAATTCAAAAGTGATATAGTTACCAAGAGGACTTATACTTAAACAATGATATAAACTGAGAAATGAAATCAAGACTGTCCTGACAGAAAGTATGGATAATTTGGCTGATTGGCTGATTAACAAAAACTGACTTTGCCAGTTA